GTGCTTTATGATTTTTTAATCATTTTAAAATGATGTATAATATTTAAGTGCATTCATTATGTGAATGCAAGTTTCCTTAATTATTTCACAGATAATGGACACAAGTTGTTTCTAACTCAGTGCTACTGTAAATAATCCTGCAACACACATTGGTAGGCATAGGTCAATTTGTTGTAGCTCTTCATTTCTTTGGGATATATACCTAATAGCAGGATTGCTGAATCAAATAGCATTTCTGTTCCTGACTTTCTACGGAAGCACTAAACTGCTTTTCATAATGGTTGCCCCATTCTACATTCCCACAGCAGTGTATGAGAACTACAGTCTCTCCACACCTTTGCCATTGTTGTTTTGACTTGTATATCTCTAACAGATAATGATCTTGAGGATTTCTTCATGTTTGATTGGTCATCTAAATATTTTCTTTGGTGAAGTGTCATTCATGTCCTCTGTCCATTTTGCTAGATCATCTTTTTCTTGTTGAAGTAGTGGTATTTTTTTAGAAATTTTAGAAAGACTTTTACTGCATAAGGATTTAATTTTTAGGGGGTCCAATCATTTGGTTTATCCTCTATTGCTAGTGCACTTCGAATCTGTTTACATTAGGGCTCCTAAGTTTCTAATTGGATTGTTTACCATTTTCTTATTCAGTTCTATAAATTTTAGATATAAGTCCTTTGTCAGATTGTGTCATTGACAAATTTTATTTTCACAATCCGTAGGTTCTATTTTCAATCTTTCAGAGGTTTTTGATGCACATAAGCATTTGAATTTTAGGCGGTTCCAATCATCTCATTTAGTTATCGATTTATACCATTGATCTATACTCCTAAATTTGCCCAAATTTTGTGTGTTTGATATTTATAACTAAATTTAAACTTAGGTCTTTGATTCACCTTGAGCTAGTTTTTGTACATTTTGTAAGGTATGGGTCTTATTTCAATTTTCTGCAAACAGATATCCATTTTGCAGTACTTCTTTGTTAAAGAGGCCATCTTTTCCTCATTTAGTAGATTTCATCTCTTTGTCAAAAATCAATTGTTCATAGGTAACAGATTTATTTATGGGTTCTCAATTTTATTCCATTTGCCAATACAACTGTCATTGTACCAGTACTAAGCTGTTTTGATTATTTATCCTGAAATATTTCAGGAAGTACTATATGGCAATGATGGAAGAAGTTCAAGCTACACTGAAAGCATTTGCAAAAAAAATTAAGGCCCCAGGAATTGATGGTATAGCAAATTATATGTTTCAACTAACAAGTGTTAGCAGCCTTGGATGTGCTCACCAGTCTATACCTGAAAATCTGGAGGACATCTGCCTGGCCAACTGACTGGAAGTAGTCCATGTTTGTTCCCATTCCCAAGAAAGGTAATCCAATAGAATGTGGAAATTATCAAACATCATAAATATCACATGCAAACAAAATAATGGTAAAGAAAATCCAAAAATGGCTAGAACTGTACATAGACAAATAACTGCCAGAATTTTAAGCAAGGTTTAGAAGAGGCCGTGGCTCCAGAGATATTATTGCTGATGTCAGATGGATCTTAGCAGATATCAACTCAATTTAATAATTTTCTTGCATCTTTGGGATGTTCTACATTTAGGATTATATCATCTACAAATAGTTTTACTTCCTCTGACTACCTTTTATAACCTTTTTTTGCCTTATTGCTCTGTGAGAATTTTCAATAGTGAGTTGACTGCTGACCTTGTCTGGTTCCCATTCTCCAGAGGAATGCCTTCAATCTCTCTCCATTGAGAGTAATGTTGGCCATTGGTTTTAAACATATGCTTTCAATTATGTGGAGGAATTTCCTCTCTATTGCAATTCTGTTGCATGTTTTTACAAGGAATTGTTGCTGTTAAGAGTCATGGAGATGAGTACAACTCATAGCAACTACATGAACAACAGATCTGAAACCTGTCCTATCCATTCACAACACATTCAAACCACTGCTGCAGTCACTGTGTCAGACTATCTCACTGAGCATCTTCCTTCCTTTTGCTGACCCTCCACCTTTCTAAGCATGATGTTCCTCTCCAAGGAACAGCTTCTCCTAAGAAAAGGCCAAAAGTAAATGAGACTAAGCTTCATCTTTGCCTCCAGGAAGCACGCTGGTTTCATTTTCTCAAAGACTTATCTCTTTATTGTTTTGGTACTCCACGGGATATTCAGTTCTTTTCTCCAACACCACAGCCCAAAGGCATTGATTCTTCTTCTGTCGTCTTGATAAATTATTCAGCTCTCATAGCAAGTGAATGAAAAGACTTCGGGCTTAAAGCAGGCATATATGCTCACTTATTACACGTAGTTTGCTCTTATTAATATTTGTCTGTCAGTTATTGTACTGACATAGCTTGCTGGGTCCTGTGATGCTGGAAGCTGTGCCACCAGTATTTTAATACCAACAGGTCACCCATGGTGGCCATGTTTCAGCATAGCTTCCATATTAAGACAGTCTAAGAACTGGCCATCAACTTCCAAAACAACTGGCCTTTGAAAACCCTATGAAATTATGTGGAATGGGTATCAAAATTGCCAAATGCTTTTTCTGCATCAACTAAAATAGCCATGTGGTTCTTGTCCTTTGTTTTAATGATTTGGTGGAGTATACAGATTGTTTTTCTAATGCTGAAGCATTAGTCTTCAGCCTTGCCCAGTGGCTGAAGCTGCAGGAGGTGTGGAGGGTTAAGTTGCTGTTTCTTGTCAGATGGCATAGAGAAAAGGGGGAGAACAGTATTCCAGCTAGAGTCTCTGGATGTAGAGTTGTGGGCACACTCCCAGTGCCAGACATAAAACCATTTAGATGTGGCCTCAAGTGAGACTGGGATGATCCTGGCCTGAGGAAATGATGACAGCCACTTGGTGGATGGAGGTTTGGGGTAAAATTACTCCCCTGATCTCCTGGAGGATATGGAGGAAGAGAGGGTTAGACTATATCTTTCATTGTCAGCCAGCCACTGGAGTGGCTACTACCATAGTCTGGAGTTTCCACGCCAAGCTGTTCAAAATAGCCACACGGTGCTGTTTGTGGTTTTATAGTCCATCTGCCACTTTAATTTGATGTTTTCTTCAGCTCCTTCATTCCTTCAGAGTTTGAAGTACTTAGTTTTTATTTTTAAATTGAGCCTTCCGGAATCTTTATCTGTATCCATTATCTTTGTTTTCTTATGTCTTTGGTGAAGAGAATTTACACTATTGGCTGTCTAGTTCACTATCTTATCCAGAGGTCGAGTTTTCCTCTTCCGTCGATGATCCTGTGCTAAGTATGATGTTTCTCTGTTATGTGCCATCAAGTTGCAACTGACTCATAGTTGATCCTCCAGTGGGTTTTCAGAAGCTGTAAACTGCATGGGAAGAGAATGTCCACATTCCTTTCAAGGAACAGCTGGTGGTTTCAAAACCCCTGTCTTTGGGTTGGCAGAGCAACTCCTTATCAGTAGTCACTGAGTTTCCATTACCCCTTTATGGGGGCTGTTAAATATGCAAAGCTTGAAGACCTGTTTCCCAGATCCATGGAGCTTGGGACCTTTTATTACCAACACAAAACTAGCATATCACTTAATGCTTCGTAATAAATCAGAATCACTCTTCCTCTGTATTTGGATCAAAGCGAATAGTAGAATAAGCCAAAGTTGCAAAGAAAGCAGGAAGAGGAAGGAGGGGAAAATATTTAAGAGAATAAAAGGCTAAGTTTTCTTTTTTGCAAACCATGATTGCTCAACGCTAAGAAGCTGTATAGAGTAACAGTTAAAAGTGCTGGCTTTGTACTGGTAACTCAAGGAGATGAGGCGCAAATCCACCAGCAGCTCCATATGGAAGAAAGAGAGGCAATGCCATCTGCGACTTACAGCTTCTAAAAACCCGCTGGAGAGTCAGTCAGCTACGAGTTGGCTCTGCCATGATGGCACATAGCAAGGTTCAGATCCCACGCCACCACTGTAGGCAAACCACTAGGGCTTTCCTTCTTTGCATAACTGTGTATCCTGCGGCGATGAATGAATTCTGTAATGTAGATTAACCTCGTGGCACATAACTTGCCATTAGTAAACACTGGGCTAGAAGGCTAACCGAAGGTGGTCAGTTAGAAGATATGGAGAGGTGCTTCCCAGGCCTGGAGATGGACTACTGGAAAGTTCGCTTCCTACACACTTGAGGTCACCACGGGTCTGGATCGCTTCAGACTCATGGATTTTGGTTTTAAATTTGCTATTGCTCAGTTCCTAAATATGCGGGCAAACTCCTCGTAAGAGGTCCCCAGCGCGCCGCGGACGGCGAGGCTGTTGAGAGATGCTCTCGGCGAGCTTTCCTGCACGCTCGGTTCCATTCTGAATGTGACAGACCACGCGGGAGGCCAACCACCTCCCATCAGGCTACGGCTTCCTCGGCCAGGGCTTTTACTTGGACGCTAGAGGTCTCTTCGAGCTTAATCTCCAGCCGCTGCCCAAACAGACCAGCTCCTAGGGAGTCTTTAGGAGGAGAATAATTCTCCCTCCAAGCCAGAGCGGCACTGAGGAGTTCAGAGCGAGCGTTTCCATGACAATAATGTCCCGCTCCGGGAGGACGAAAATTTGGAAGGAACTAAGAGCGTCAGAAGGCCTCACTCCGCTCCAGGATTCAGCCCGGAGCCGCAGCGCTCGATTCGACACCTACCTCCTTTCAAGCCGGCTCAGCTCAGCCCCTTCCCGGAAACTTGGGGGTATTGCCGACTCCAAGTCTATCGGACTACACTTCCCAGACTTCCCTGCGCCCCTCAAGCCCCAGTCTCGGGGTTCCGGCGCCTCACGCAGGCCTGCGCGGTCCAAGCCCCACGACGTGACCGGAATCTTTCCACTACGGTTCCCGTCGTGCCTCGCGACACCCTGGTTGCCGCGGCGAGCTGCGCTTCATTTCCGGTTGATGACGTAGTTCCGCTCTGCTGCACACAGGCGCGCGCGGTAGACAGTCTTGAACGTAAAGCTCAGTTTTTTTCGCTGGGGTTTGTGCGTCTCCAGCTCCCAGCATGGCTTCTTCACGACCCTCCTCCACGGTACAGTTGTAGGGATCTCTGCTTACGCTAGCAGGGAAGGCGATGCAGGAGGAAGTGGCCGTTATGAAATGGGTTAGGGCGAGGGAGGGCTGATGTGGGAGGCAGCGGGACTTGTATACTTGTATAGAGACGAGTTCCGTTTGCCTGTTTCCTAAGCGCTTTCTAATGCTTTAGTTCATTTGTACCTCTTTCGCTACAGCCCTGAACTGCAAACACTTCCTCCGACGGGGTCAGAAACGGAGACCTGAAAGAGGGAAGTGGCTTAGTTATGATTATGTCTGTGTCAGACTTGGGACTTAATAATGGCCTCTTAACTCCATGTCTGCTGTCTAACGTCTGAAAACGTTGTAAAGGTATAGACTAGGTAGTTAATTTTGCTCCCTGTTAGTACAAGGTTAGTTATTTCATTCAAATAACCAACCTTTCATTCAAAAAATTTCATACTTGGTATTTCGCTGATGAACAGAAATCATAGAATGTTCATAAAACTCAAGAAAAGGTGGCATTTCTTATCTAATGAAGCAATCAGGCTCATCCGTAGAACATTGAAAGAAAAATCACAAAGAGAAATTCACTCGTTTTACCATGTTCCTACTTCTTGTTTGCAAAATTTTAATGACTGAGACGTTGAGACACTCTTCAAGTTAGGAAAGAACGTATCCAACTTTCATATAGGGAAGAAATAGGATTGAAGTTTAGGATGAGCATCACCCTTTGGGGAAGGCTGGTTAATTTGCTAAGATTAAACCTGAGGTTAATCTGGTTCTTGATTTAACAGGCAACCAAAACCTCTAAGGCGCCTGATGACTTAGTTGCTCCTGTTGTGAAGAAACCCCATATCTATTATGGAAGTTTGGAAGAAAAGGAGAGGGAACGTCTTGCCAAAGGAGAGTCTGGAATTTTGGGGAAAGAAGGACTTAAAGCAGGAATCGAAGCAGGAAATATTAATATAACCTCTGGTAAGATTCCATTTCGGTCTGGCATGACGTTTGATGCCCAAATTTTCTGTAGAGAAAACTTTTCTAGACTTAGATCTCATTGGTATTGCAGTGTCAGAAGTTTTAGGTTATTCACCGTCTGTCGCTAAAGCCATACCTTACCTACCACTCTTAACATCATTTGTTGTTGTTGTTGTT